TAAAGGGCACCGAGAAAATAGAGTGGACAATAATATGTCAGGATTGAGGCAATCCGTGTGATTCCTCGTGCTAAAGTGAAGGCTTTGAGAAACATTTGAGTTTCTAACGGGCCATGCTATAACAAGTGCTGACTGACTGTGTTTTATCTTAGTTTAATGTCAGGATTCATTTATTAGTCAGCCAGTAACTGTAAGTGTTTGAATTGTTTAAAAGGAATGATGACATCTTGTCCTTTTGTTCTTCTTTCATTGTTAATCATGTTCTTTGTTGTTTGGATTAGAATGAAACCAAAGACATGTCTGTAGCTCGGTGTACATCAGACATCTGATGATGATATAACACAAAGAACTGGCATTTAAAAAAGTAGTTGAATATGAATGTTGTTAACACACTTCAAATCTACTGCCATTTTTAATCATGAAGGAAATGGACTGTCAACATTTGAAGCTGATACACTCTGCCTCCGATGGCAGTAGAAGGTATCCCGCCCTCCCTTCAGGCCCTGGTCCCGGGGCCAGCCACGGAAAGGCAGCGCTAATGACTGCCGCACAAAGGCCAAATGTCTCACAGCGGCACGGGGAGAAGCTGGCGAGACTCCGTTCACCTGATCTCGCAACCGAGTTCAGTGTTTGGAACGAATCCATGTGGCCAGTCGTAGGTGGCCAACACAATATCTTCAGCGCCTTTTAGGACTAACCTTAGAATTTCTCTACAGGTACCTTTTTTATCTAAAGCCTGAGGACTTCCTTCGTTGTGTAAATTAACTTTTTCCCGCAGCATGAGCGCTGTAGAGCACTCACGCCTTGCATCAGTCTGCTAAAGTGCTATATGATTGTCTTACGCCCTCTGATGCATTAACAAACTGGCCCGGGGTCATTGATGCTCTTACTTAAATTAATTTAGACTACAGGTACTTTATTCATTGAGGACCTCATTGCAAAACGATGGCTTTTTCTAGAGCAGAGGTGTCTTTCTCTCCTTCACTCGCTATATTTCGGTCTCTTCTTCCTCTTTCACTGTAAGCTATTGGCTACTCGCCCAGGTCTGCGACACTGGGGAACTGAGGAGCTGAAGTGGGCACTTTAAGAGCGGCTCCACTGAGCACAGGGCCAAGGACAAAAGGTGTGTGTGTGTGTGTGTGTATGTGTGTTGTACACACTCCTGAGTGGAGCATGCACACGCAAAGCATCTTTTTATGTAGGGTCAAAGCATCGCCGGCTGAAATGGTTCATTGTGTGTGTGTGTGTGTGTGTGTGTGTGTGTGTGTGTGTGTGTGTGTGTGTGTGTGTGTGTGTGTGTGTGTGTGTGTGTGTGTGTGTGTGTGTGTGTGTGTGTGTGTGTGTGTGTGTGTGTGTGTGTGTGTGTGTGTGTGTGTGTGTGTGTGTGTGTGTGTGTGTGTGTGGTGTGTGTGTGTGTGTGTGTGTGTGTGTGTGTGTGTGTGTGTGTGTGTGTGTGTGTGTGTGTGTGTGTGTGTGTGTGTGTGTGTGTGTGTGTGTGTGTGTGTGTGTGTGTGTGTGTGTGTGTGTGTGTGTGTGTGTGTGTGTGTGTGGTGTGTGTGTGTGTGTGTGTGTGTGTGTGTGTGTGTGTGTGTGTGTGTGTGTGTGTGTGTGTGTGTGTGTGTGTGGTGTGTGTGTGTGTGTGGTGTGTGTGTGTGTGTGTGTGTGTGTGTGTGTGTGTGTGTGTGTGTGTGTGTGTGTGTGTGTGTGTGTGTGTGTGTGTGTGTGTGTGGTTGTGTGTGTGGTGTGTGTGTGTGTGTGGTGTGTGTCCTTTTTAATTGAGGCCCAGTATAATGGTTGTAGTGTTTCACCGTGCCTTACTTACATTTAATAAGTGATGTGTTTACAACTGAAAATAATGAGATAATAAGCTAGATATTAAACAATTCCTTGCGAGGCTGATCAAATAAAATAAAAAAGCTCCCACTTTGGCTCGCTGCAGACAGAAACGTAATAAATTTGCAATCCCTGCGCTCCGCCGAGAACCAAATCAATTGCTTTGACAAAATCTCCATGTGGCTGGCACTGTGACTTTGCTCTCCCGCTCGAGATGAAAAGAGGCCTGACAGTTATGAAAATGGCCACGGGGAAGAACCTGTCATCAGACGCGAGGTGTTGACTCTCGCTGAGGCCGCTGTTGTCGTCGTCGTCGTCGTTGCTGTTTGCGGCCCTCAGATAGGCAGGCGAGCTAAGCACGGTGTGAACATGGGCCATCAATGCTAGCATGGGGCCACCAATTGATTCAACCACATTTAACTCAATTAGGGGTGAGGGGGTGTTGTAGTGAGGAGACTCGGCACAGGTTCTTTGGGGACGGTTGGAATATTTTCAGAGCGTATTTAATCATTTGAGGGAAAGGATTTTCACTCTTTTTGAATACACACTGACTGATACTGTTGGAACACTTAATATTGCAGAGCTACCACGGGGACATGGCAGATCGTACTGGGATAAAAGACTAAGCAAAAAAGAGAAAAGTACTCATTTCCTAGTGTTTGTGTGTCTTCGCAAAAAATGTGTTTTTCTAGTTTTGCTCACTGTTTTCATTGGAAGGCTGAGTTTCCTCCTCACACAGCGGGCTCTGGTTTATGTAGGGAGTGCTGACTGCAGCCCAGGACAATGAATCCACAGCTAATGGCTCCTGACATTAAGAACTGGGACTTCTTCTTCCATATTGTTGCTGCCTCGCGGCGGAGAAAACACAAACAAATGTAGTTGGACAATATAACAAGCAACTATGCTATATCTACAAATAGATACAGCCATGCTTGCATACACCAACCCAGAGGCAAGGATCCACGCACACACAAAGACATCCAAAGATACGCATTAGGACTCATGGTGCTGCAGCGGAGAAGAGCCGGATCTACACTCCTCTGTACTTACTCGGCAGTTAAATGTCACATGCACTGGGAGGTTGATTTGTACATGCTCTAATGTGAGATCAACAGGATTATCAGAATATGTTAATTGGAAATAGGCACAGGGAGCATCAGCATTTTTGGCAATTAGTCAACTGTGCAATACTCACAGCGCTTTGGCATTACAACTGTATTACACTGTACATTTAGAGCAGTTATGGGTTTTTCCATAATTGATATCAATTATATTAATACACGATATTGCATTATACATATTTGTACATGTTTATTATTATATTGTGAGTCAATGTTTGACCTAAAGTTATCTGATTTCATTTTTATTTTAAAATGCAGCAACAGTTACAAAATAGAATGATGTATATTGTGATACAATCTGCACATTTTTACTTTAACTTCTCCATGTTTGAATACATATTTACATTTATTATAATTTGATGTTAATTTAGAATCATATATTTTTACAATCAACAATTACAACATTTATTTTTGATTTATTTTTGATACAATTTGCACATTTTTCTCTTCTTTATGTTTGAATACATATTTTGTTTTAATATAATTACATTTTTGAATTATTTAATTTAATCTTATTGCATTTTATTCTCAAATGGAGCAATTGTTAAAACATTTAATTATATATTTTAGAACACTTTAACTTATTATAATTTAATATAAATTCCTGTCAATTTAGTTTAAACATAATTTACTTTGTTTTATTTAATATTTTTCTAAAATGGAGCAACTGTCACAAAATCCAATTTCCCAAGGGGATAAATAAAATATTTCTGATTCTCTTGCAGAAAAAAGCAATATTCCCCAAAAGAGCCTCACTGAAAGCACACGGGTCATGTTGTGGGCAACACCTCTGCTTTAGAGATCAATGTGAAGAGCACTGCACTGTTCAGGCTCTTTGCATCTAACCCACCGCTACCCTGCAATTTCCACATTACCATCTCTCTGTCGCTGTTCACACATGAGCAGCTTGAGTGACAGTGACATTTATGGGCTTGTCCAGACAGCAACCTCGTCCATCCCTCGGGGGCGTCGCTTTCCACTCCCCCCCTACTCTCTGGAGATATCCAACTGTGCTGCTTCCCCTCCCAAAGGCCCTAATATATCCACTATCAATACCTCTGATTGACTGGACTGCAAGCCCACAGAACGAACTGTATGTACAAGTCAATCCGCCATAACAGATTGCTTTAGGTTACTCTGTGTTGAAATCAAGCGAGTAGCTGACTAGATAGATGCATTGCTCTCTATGCTTCTGAAAACGGTCTAAAATGGATTTGTTCCCCTCTGCTCGCATTTCCCTCTGCACTGTTTACACCACTGAAGCCCTGTTAAAGATGTTTATGGTTGTTTTTAAATTGCCTCAAATCCACAATTAAAAGAGATTTAATGCTAAAATATGCCTGCCTGAATTAATCGAGTCAAAATTCATTAGGAAATTCATTTGGGCATTGGATTGACATGACCTTAATTTGCCCCCCTCTACCCTGCATTAGCATTCTACGAGTCAGAGGGGAGAGCAGGGCTAATACGAAGTGGAGGAGATCCCATGTGTTTTTTCCATTCGAATAAGTGTCAGTCAAGAGGACTGAAGGATTGCTTTCTTTGCAGCCTCCTCTCCTCTGGCTCCTCCTCTCTATATATATGTGCCGTCTCCCTGGCTCTAATCATGTGGCCATTGTGTATGGATTTACTGCCCTCACAGCCCCCAGGAGGGAGATTTGATTTTCCCCCTGCACTGGCTAATCTTTCCCTCTCACACTCTATTTTTCTTCTCTAATTCTGCCTGTCTCTCCTCCTCTTGCACTCGCAGATATTTTCTCTTTCCTCTCTTGCCTTTTAGATAATCACCTTAGTTGACTGGAAGCAAGTATTCACTCTCTGGCTTTCTAAAAAATCTCTATCTCTCACTCCTTTTTGTCTGTCTTTTTCTTTCCCTCCTATTTAGCTCAACCAACACTTTACCATTGCTCCAACTGACTGAAACGGTTCAAATCATTGAGCTGCTTATTATGCATGTATTGCTAAGCGGTTCTAGTTGGCAGAATGTACTCCTGACTCATTTGGTTGTTGAATTTGCTTTGACTCATTGTTTTTTCTCTTTTCCAGCCACTCTCACTCCCCTGGCTCCATGGCAGCGGCGGTGCGAGGCAGCGAGTGGTCATGTGGACGCTGCACCTTCTTAAATGCCGGCGCCGCCCCTCGCTGCTCCATCTGTGAGGCGCCGCGCCAGAAACCCGACCTGAACCAGATCCTGCGTCTGAGCAGCACCGAGGAGCACCGCTGGGCCTGCCCCCGCTGTACGCTCAACAACTCCCAGGGGTCCGGAGCCTGCACCGTGTGTGGCTTCGGACCCTCCCCTACCACCCCTACCCCCCCTACCACCACCATAGCTGCCACAGCCAACGGCCTCCCACCTGCTCCCACCGAACCTCCAACACCTATCATCACCCCAATGGTTCTCCTCGAGCCCCATGGACAGCATCCGGCTAAAGAGGAAGTGCTGCGCCGATCCGAGAGCAACGGAGAGGTGTGTGTCCTGGAGGGGCATCACTCCGGGTGGGCTTGCCCTCGCTGCACGCTCCACAACACCCCCGTGGCTCTGTCATGCTCAGCCTGTGGCGGCCCCAGGAAACTGTCTTTACCTAAAATCCCCCCTGAGTCGCTAGTGGTGCCTGAGGTGCGCACACCTGTACTGGGGTTTCCCGTCCACATAGCAGGGGCTGCCCCGCTACTTATAGACCTAACGGACGACTCACCCCCGGCCCCCCCCTGTGACCCTCAAGAACCTCCGAACGTCCTCTCGCAGCCCCTCACCTCCCCTTTTACGTCCTTCTCCTCCTCCCTCCATAACAACCCTGTGCCCCGCAGCAGGAGAGAGGTGCCCCCCCCAGGGCGCCCTACAAACCCGGGCCCCAACACCCCCAGCCCCACCTCCCCTTCAGCAGCCGGTGTGCCCCCTCAGCCAGGCCCACAGCGGCCGGCCAAGCCCAAACACGCACAACCCCAGGAACCTTCGTACCCCAGCAAACGCCTCAGTATCTTGGAGGAAGAAGACCACCCGCTGAACCCCCATCTCCCTGTTGCTTCCTCAGGGGCCCCCAGCTGGAAGTGCCCTAGCTGTGCCCTGGCCAACCCAGGTAGCTCGTCGAAGTGCGACACCTGCCGCTCCTCCAGAGCTGGGGCTGACCTCATTGACCTGGTGGGCTGTGAGTCGGTACGGTTTACCCCCGCCAGCCCCTCCAGCCCGGACTTCAGCACCTGGGCCTGCTCCAAGTGCACGCTGCGCAACCCCACAGGGGCCCCCAAGTGCTCGGCATGCGGTTCCTCCAAGCTGCACGGCTTTCAGGAGCAGCCCCTGCCTCGCTGCTGCACACACTGCGGCGCCGCGTCATGCTCCTGCACACCTTCCTCCTCCTCGGGTCATAAAGCACGGAAACAGGCCCGGGGCTACCCTTCCTCCTCCTCCTCCTCCTCCTCCTCTGCTATCGCTTCTTCCAGCTCCTCCTCCATCATCTCATCGAGCCTCCAGGAGAAGGTGGGACAGTGGAGCTGCCCAGCATGCACCTTGCTCAACGACCTCAAGTCCAAGAACTGTGCAGCGTGCCACACACCGCAGCAGTACCTCACCCTCCGTAAGGTGGTGAAGCCCCTGAAGAGGAGGGAGAGCATGCATGTGGACGCCCGGCGGCGAAATGATGAAGGCGAGGCCAAGGAGCTTTTGGAGAACATAGTCAGCTTCTGCAGAGAGGTAAGAGACAAATGAATTGTTGCTGGAAAACACAAGAACACATCAACAACTGTCTTTGTGTGTCATTAGTGAAGTAAAATGGCTTTGGGCCGTCCATGTTTATGACAAGTATTGATTTATCTTTAAAGGATAAACAAGTCTCCAAGTATCACGTTTTTATCGTCAGGCAGGGTCTTTTATCATCACGTGTTCCTTCTTATCTTTACATTATGCTAAGTTTTCCTCTGCTTTTATGATAAAGTCTGCTCTTTTGGATGTGCAATGCGTCACAGGGTGCACATTGCCGATTCAGAGGAGCACAGTTCCCTCATTGTAAATCCTCTTTTTGTTTTGTCTCTGGCATTGTTCCCTCAATCTCTCTCATTTCAGAGAAATGCTAATAGGCTTTGTCATTGCTTCTGTTTGCACTTGCTTCGTTAGCGGAGTTTTAAACGGCCGGCGGCTATATCTTGGCCACTTCAATGAGCTGCAGACACAGAGGAGATCATAGAGGAGGCTGTGGCTCAGTGGATAGTGTGCTAGACTTGGAATCAAGTTCGAATCCCACTGCAGTCAGCATGTCGTTGTGTCCCTGGGCAAGACACTTCACCTCAAATTGCTCCTGTGGGGATTGCCCACAGTCGCTTTGGATAAAAGCGTCTAACAAGTAACATGTCATGTAATAATAGAGCACAGATCACTTTACCAAAGTCTGATTTAAAAACCTCAAATGTCTGTTTTAGGAAAGTCACTTCTGTATCAGAAGTCTTTTTAGCCTGGTCTGATTTAAATGTGAGAGTTGCTATTGTATCTAGGAAGATGTTACATCACTTTATGCGAGGAATCTTACTGTATAATAAGACATTTTTCTCTAAAAGACGATTTTTATTATCCAGTATTTACTTTCCCTTTTAACCGAAGTGCATCCATTTTGCCAAGTAATTAAAGGATCAACTACGGATCTAGTTAAACAGCCTATTCCTTCCTTTCCATCACTACACACCATAGTTAGACAGAACATTTTCATTAAGCAGCGTAAATGTCAGATGTTAGGAAGTTAATTATTTACTGGGGAGAAAATATAATCATGTTTTTGTAATTACGGGCTTCTTAAAAATCTTGAATAATTATGCATTATTTACTTCATTTAGCACCTTGACATTTAATGTTCAAAGATCAAGAGGACTTTCAGAGGAATTGTTCATTCATGAGCCCTGATTGGTCGGATTCAGAGTGTTCCGCTGTTTGGAGAGAGAGTCTTCTTCTGCTACCATATTAGGATGTGGAAACGTTTCCATGTCACTTCCTTTAATAAGATAATAGTTTAATGACCGATCACATTCATTATAACATCATTGTAGACTATATGTTTAAGATCCATTTACCCTTCATTTAATCTGTGATTCTCTTTTTAGTTTATGATCCACAAATCCACCATAGAGTGCTTTAGTCTAACGGTATTCATTCGTGGGAGCCCGTCTCTCCGATTCGATGGCACCATATTCTCTCTTCATGTTTACTGTGGTAAGGGTTAGGGACAATGTTGATGGACAGCCTCAATATGTTATTATGGTAGGATGATTCATAATTCCCAAAGGGTTGACCTAAGCAGGTTTGCATTTAGTGGAGCAGTTTTGTCTTTAAAGCGTGTCACAAACTCTTATAGTATTTCAGTGCTGTTGAACACTCATAGTCACGGTATAACAAACTAAAGAAGGATTTTTCTACTTGCCCTAAAAGACCTAAGGCTGCTGAGAAAAGACATTTGAATGAATAAATGAATAACACCACTTCCAGCTCAACTTAACTGTAAACTGCATGTTGGAATAGATATGCTGCTCATGGTTGTAAAATGGGTTAATTTGAGAGCATGTGTTAAGATAAATATTAATGAGACAAATGTGATTGGACTCATTTGAAACCTGGCATTGGAGAATCTTGAACGGCTCAGCTTCAGGTCATTTTCCAGGCAGGCTATTATTCCCTAAATGAACTTGGTTGTCTTATTTGTGCCCATTCATTACACCTGCAGAGCACCCATCATGCCATGTTTACAATAGCATGGAGTGTGCTCTACTGTGCATTATTAATGGCTTCTTTGAAAGTCACAGGGCTCATCTCTGCGAGCGTGGGAGGGGAGTTGGCTCAGTAGGAAGGATATCAGAGATCCCTCATCCCCACCTTCCCATCCTCTTTTCCTAATTTAGGAAGCAACAGTTAAGCCGGTATTTCTTTTTTATCATCTTTCCGTTTCTCCGGCAAATATTTGAGGCTCTAGCTGTGCACTCTTCAAAGCGCTCTCCCATCTTCATCGACTTTTTATCCCGTCTCCCTCCATCAAATATATCCTGCATGCTCACCCTGTTTCTTTTTCTCCCTCCTTTTGCTTATATCTTAAAAAAATGAAATGATCTCCGTTTGCCATCCTCTCCACCGTCAATCCCCTCTCCTGTGTGTGTGTGTGTGTGTGTGTGTGTGTGTGTGTGTGTGTGTGTGTGTGTGTGTGTGTGTGTGTGTGTGTGTGTGTGTGTGTGTTGTGTGTGTGTGTTGTGTGTGTGTGTGTGTGTGTGTGTGTGTGTGTGTGTGTGTGTGTGTGTGTGTTGTGTGTGTGTGTGTGTGTGTGGTGTGTGTGTGTGTGTGTGTGTGTGTGTGTGTGTGTGTGTGTGTGTGTGTGTGTGTGTGTGTGTGTGTGTGTGTGTGTGTGTGTGTGTGTGTGTGTGTGTGTGTGTGTGTGTGTGTGTGTGTGTGTGTGTGTGTGTGTGTGTACGTACAGGTGCAAACAGGGGCTGGCCTATTTTTAGAAGCCGAGCTGGAGAGGAGCAGAAATCAGCTGCTTCCCTATAGTGAGTGTAATCACTGACAGCATCAAGTGCTGCAGCTCAGTTTGAGGGGTCAGAGAGATGAACCGGAGCAGTTGGTAAACAAGCAGAGCTACTCTTTCTAATTCGTCACTGTCAAAGGCATTAACACTTGGCAAGCACCAAAACACCAGTGGTTAACATGTAATAATGATTGATGTGTTACAAAAGCATGCGGGGAGTCTGAGCACACAGAAAAACAGTGAAGGTGTCAGTGTCTGATCCTTTTCTCTTTGGGTTATAGCACATGGTTTTGCTGATGAAACCTTCCCAAGAGTTTGTTCAGATTGCAGCAATCAATAAAGACCAAAACTAGAGCAAGACATACGAGTCTTTCTTTGGTCCTTTTCCCCCTGCCTCCTTGCCTTTCTACTCTCCTTGATTGGTTTTGAGAGCGAGAGGTGTGTGTGCCTGACGCCAACGCCCCAGAGCGTGTCCGCTTACTCACTATGCCAGACGAGTAAACGCTGCTAACGGCCATCAGCGCCGCTAGTGAACTGTAAAGCCCAGCATGGCTGGAGCGGGTTCCTCTGTTCCCTTTTCCATGTCACCCTCTGGGGGAGCAACACAAATATGCTTCATGGCAACAGGCTGACTTTTGTTTGTTTTCCTTTTGACACTAGTTGTTGCTTTGAATTGTTGCAACACAAAATATGTAATATTGGGTTTTGCATTTTAGATTGTAAGGCTGCACAATTAATTACAATTCTATTGATATGGACTAGAGCAGTATTCAAATCGCAAGGATGACATTTGTTAAGGGCTACATATTTGTTAAAATGTCAGTTTCAATGAAGAAGTGTTGAGATGCAGAGGCCTACAGTACCACTAGTATTCTGCAGATTCAGCACTACACATTGTATGGTCAAATATTATGCCTTTGTGCCAAAATGATCAATTCCTCCTACATCAAAGCGCCATATCATTCAAAAATATTTGCTTTTTGTTTTTTTACAAATCCTGCACCCTACATAAGATTGTATCTAGTGTTTATCTTCTGCAAACAATTGTCATATCTCATAGCGACTGATAGTATTGTACATTCCAGGTTGATTTGAGATGCTTATTTTGGGTTTATTGTATGGCGCTTTGAAATCCAGCTCTACAGCTCCTTGTCACCACATATTCATGGATCACTAGGTTGTCTGCAACATGTAGATCTCTAGCTTACTTTAAAAAAGAAAATCCCTTCTTAAATCTTGCCAGTCATGTGTAGTCTGGGAGAATGCGGGAGGGCAGCAGCGGGTTTTCGTAGCTCTGAATTGGCTCATTGCGTCTCGTTGGCATGTGCCCAGCGATAGAATCAGAGACAGCAGCAGGACGACAGACAGCTAGACTTACGCTGGCCGTATCACAACACCGCAACCCGAACGGTAGCATAAATGCTTCTCTGTGTGTGTGCACGTCAGTCACACTTTGGCACTTATGTTATTACATACATGCATACCACACTGCTTATGATAATGCATGCATTTAGCTTGTATTAGCTCAAGGATTCTTAAGATTCCTAATGGAGTTGCTTGTCCCTGTGACTCATAAGATTAAATGGGTTCAACATTTCTTGTAAAGAAATATTTAAAAAACCATTTGGCCCATAAAACACCCTGAGCGCCCCAGATGTGAGAAGGCTAATATGAGCATGTTTAGCACAGTGTAGCCCTTATGGACAAAATGCTGGTTATCCTGTCTTTTTAAATGACTCAGAATAACCCGCTTGACGATATGAGAGGTGAGTTCAACCTTGTTATTGTTATTATAGCTAACATCCATTAGAGCCAAACAGGATTGATCTTCCGAGCATCTGAAATGACGATGTTTGTGCAATACGTTTGATAAATATGCAGCATATGTATTTCTGTGCTTGTTTGGAGCACTTTAGTCATCTTCATGTTCTGTACAGACTGCTCTGAGTTACATAAATGTCCCTGCTTGGACATTAAAAGTATCTTATCTTGCATTAAAGTTTGAAGTTCAGAGGCCAAAGCTTTTTCCCTCCACCCCTGTGGTAAATCCACACGGCCCTGAGCCCACACAGTGAGAGCTGGCACAAGGGTCACACATAAGCTGCAGAATCTGTAAGCTCCATGGAGACCTCGGATGGCCGGAGTGCTGAAAGCAATTCTGTCTGGTTGCTAATGTTGCTTCGAGACTACAGAATTGGATTGTGGGTATGGCGAGGAATCAATTGGCCTCAGCGCGAGCCACCCGTCGGGCGCCCACATTACACCCCCCGTCCCCCGCCGGGTCCACTCCTGACACCACAAGCAGGAAAGAGGATAGGTTCTGCATGCGCGGCTGTTGGCCCTCTCCGGTGTGTGTACAGGAGTTTAAGATAGGCAGATAGTGTGTCAGATTGGGTGTCTAGCTGTTTAGTTCAGGTCCTGTGTACAGTACAAAGGCAGCTACATTGTTAAAGCCATTATGAATGCTCAGTGCTCTGCAGAGAATGTGTCAGAAGCTGAAGCGTTTGAAATGTTTCAGAAGTGATTAGCATATGTGTCCTGTATCCTGCCTGCTACACGGCGCCACATCGGGTGTCCTGCTGTGCAGATGTGTGATGCCACACCAACAGCGGGCCAGTCATTCCTGCTGCCACACCACTAACTGTGGAGTTCTACCCAGAATCTACGCCTCATGAAGTGTCCTGTATTAATCATTATCCACCTGCAGAATATGTGGTATTAGAAATGCAGGGAAGAGATTAACGGTAGAGCTCCAAGTGTCCTTCAGGCTTGCATTATGCATTTGAAGTGATCTCATCTGCTCATTTGGGCATGATGATTAATACAGAGGACAGACTTAACAGGAAGCTTTAAAAAGTTTCAAAACATTTTATAGAACTACACAAATGAATAACCTTTACCTAAAAATGTATTGTACACTTTTAGGACATTACTCTTTAAAATGCCGTGGATTATGCAATACGAGTCTTTATATGTATATGAAATGAAAAGTACTTTCGTAGTACTGTCAAAAACATTTGGTATTTAATAATCTAATGAGTCTAACTAAAAAAAAAACATGTAGATACATATATTTGATGAACCATGTCCATATTTATTTCAAGAATGCAGAAATGAATAATTTCATATTTTTGTGCTGCTTTTTTTACATATTTTTTTATAATATCTTTTAATAAGCCTACAGTAGGTTTCTGCCTTGACTGCACATGCATTTTATTTCTGTTAACCTTTAATCTCTCTTAAAAATGTACAAATCACACGTAATATAAGATGATTCCTCTTAATAAAGATCTTAATAAAATGGTGGTGACATTTATTTTAACTGGTTCAGTCATCTCATCCTTTTGTTCCCCTCTAATTGTTCCTCCGCTGTCTCCCTCTGTTTGGCTCAGAACTCGGTGAACTTTGTGGACGACAGTTTCCCCCCCGGTCCTCGCTCCGTGGGCTTCCCCGAGGGCGACAGCGTCCAGCAGCGAATCAAAAAGTGGCTCCGCCCCCACGAGATCAACTGCAGCAACTTCAAAGATCGAGGCGTCAAGTGGTCCGTCTTCCGCACGCCACGGCCCTCTGACATCCTGCAAGGCCTGCTGGGAAACTGCTGGTGAGCTGTCAGAACCGCACGGGACACTTTGAGGAAGATAACCTGAAAGAATCCAGACACATTTGCATAATAATAATTTTTAAAAACTGGGAAATTATTAATGCTTTGAACCTAGGAATAACCAAATATCCCAAAAGAACAACATGACGTTTCCATTGAGTCCTTTTGAAAGGTCAGCTTTAGACGAACACTACAGCCTGAAGCTAGCATTGAGAGATGGAGACAGTGACTGAGAGGCAGTGAAACGGCAAGTCAAAAGAGAGATAGGGAAAAATTGTGAGGCAGGAAAATGAAAGATGGCGGGCATTAAATAAAAGAGGAAGCAGGGCGTACAGTCGGTGGACAGATGTACAGATACACCTGACAGGAGGATTAGTCACAGGAATGAGAGTCTGGACATTTTTACTCCCTGCCCTTGTTCCGCGTGTCCTTTCATCTGTGTGTATATATGTGTGTTACCCTCCTGCCATCTTCCTCTTCACATAACAAAGAACCTTCAAAAAGTTGTGCCAATAGGACTACTCGCCCCACATCTCCTGCAAACACGGCTTATCAAAAAATATCCCCAGAGCTAAATCCTCTTACTCGCGACAGGATGTAACCCAGATACTTCTCTCTCTCATACACACTAACATTGTCCTAATAAACTAGCAAATAACCCCGCCCCCCTTCAGCCAGCCAATGAATGCAGAGGAAAGTAGTGCCAGTCCAACCTTGTCCTTGAGTACAAGCTGACATTAGAGTCACATTATGACACGGCTAATTGGATTTTCCCTTGATTTCTTTTTTTTTTGTTGCAGATGATTGGTTTTTCATCAGCGGCTAAATGGGCTGATCTGGCTCACTCGGCTGCCACTTTAACAGATGGCATTGTATAGCTTTATTAATACACATTTCCAAACCCACACAAAGAGTTTCAGTCTGCTGCACTGACACACATTGACTGGACTCAAAGGGATATTATTGCTTTCATCTGTAACTCCAGTTCAATGACATCACTATGTAAAGCTTGCACTTTTATGGGCAAGTGCTCCAACCCATTGTAAATAATAGGCTATGGGGCGGGACATCTCTAAGTGGTTGACCAATCAAAAAGCAGACTGGTCTCTGGTCTCAGACAGAGGGTGAAAAGTGGTGCTGCAGCACAGTATGAGAAACACTTTTTGATATTAAAGCATGTAAACATGACACAGGAAAAACAGTTATGAAACCAGAACATTAGCATAATAGGGCCCCTTTAATGTAGCGTGTCAGTATACTTGAAATCAGTCAGTGGTGAGTCATCAGCGTACAAAGATAAATACTTTTCGATCGTGGTCCCCAAACCTCAACCGTTTGTTGGCATTTCATCAGCTTTGTATGATCTCTCTCCACACTTTCAGATGAACTTATGCTCACTTTAAAATCTATTCCTTTCAAGTCGGATCCTCGCGTCCCCAGCCTCCTTTCTCTTGTGTGAGGAATTAGCATTTTTCTGATGTATCCGGATTTTTGATTAACTAAATTCTCTTGCAAGCTAATTAGGGGAGGCGAGCTGGTTTGTCTTTGCTGCAGGCTGAATGAACAGTAATGGGGAGGCAACCAGAAGGCATAGAAGCTTGACTCATAACACCTGATTGATTTTCAATAAGGGCAAATCATGTTAAAAAAATGATTGAGGTTGAGGTATGTTTTTGTAAAGTGATGTTTTAGTCCACATTTACAGCTGATTGTCAGTCTGTGTGTTTTTGTTCTGATTGCAGTCGACATTCCCTATCACTGCTTGTCTTTTCTGACTAAGCTGGCGTCCATTCATCCATCCACCTGTCCGTCACAATCAGCTGATCATTTCTCTCTTATCTCCATTTGTTTCGCCGCTGTCCTTCCCCGATCCGACGTTTCATTTTCCGAATCACTGATCTTTATCCCTCTCCAGGTTCCTGAGCGCGCTGGCGGTGCTGGCGGAGCGTCCCGAGCTGGTGGAGAGAGTGATGATCACCAGGACTATCTGCCAGGAGGGGGCCTACCAGGTCCGGTTGTGTAAAGACGGCACGTGGACGACGGTGCTGGTGGACGACATGCTGCCCTGCGACGACTACGGATACCTCCTATTCTCCCAGGTCAGGAAAAAAGATAGGGAAGGTGGAAGTAATTTAAGGAGGGAGAAGTGATGGATGAGAAAATAGATATTCATTGATATTCAGTGGACAAGATACACTATTTGTGTCAAAGGTTGCACGAACAATACAGAATGGCTGGATAGGAAAGAAACATTCCACTCTTATAATGTGTGTCCTCTTTCAGGTCAGAGAGGTTAGAGAAGATAGATAGCAGATACTTACAGAGGCCCAAATGCTGACACATGCACACTATGTACACTCTATATACCCTCTGACATTCCTTTTTTATCGCTCGCACCACTTTGTGACCCTTAAAGGGGAACTCCCCACATCAAAGAGTGTCTACAAGTGTTGGGGTGTACTACTGCATATGAGAGTTATGTTGATATAGCTTCTCGTGGCTCCAGAGGGAGCTGCACAGACGAATAAACTGCAATAAGTGCGGTCACTTGAGTCGGTGTCGGTTGAAGACTATACGTTTGGAAATGAGAAAATAATATCTGGGTTATGTGGAGTTAAAACAGAAGTCTTTTTGTATTTGTAATTCTTGTAGCTAAAGACACCCAAATCTGGGTCGTTACTGTCAGCAGTATTATAAAACACTATATATTAGACATAAATACTCTAATTTATCAGTAAGCAGGACCACTGTTAGTTGCTTTGTGTTTGTTGATGGGGTTGCAGCCTAACATCAGTGTAATATTAACTTCTTAAAATAAGTTCAAGCTTGTTCATGATCCAGCGTTTCATTAAAAGTGTGTCTCAAAGGACCCCACAGAGGAGGATTGTACATGGAGGTCTAATTAATTACCAGACAAATTTAAGTGTGGCGTTATGAAATAAATAAAACACAGAGAAACATAACCAGGCGTACACATGCTGCCGACACAGACTGTATAATATCAGATCTACATAATGTGGATAAGAAGAAAAAGAGATAATAGTCTAAGTGAATTCCTTTACAATGATGACTAAGAATGCACTCATGGCAGAATACAATGATAAGGCAGCAGTAATAAGCACAGTGATGAAAAGATAAGAAACAATATGATAAAGCATAAACCCTTTCAACCTTTAAACTCTACAAACAGGTTCAAATTAACACCTTAAAACAACATCCTGATACAGTGAGCTACACTCAGACTTTACTAAATGTTTCCTCTTCCTCTTTCCCATCATGCAGGCTCAGAGGAAGCAGCTATGGGTGGCGCTGATAGAGAAGGCCCTGGCCAAACTCCATGGCTCCTACTTTGCCCTGCAGGCGGGGCGCGCCATCGAGGGCCTGGCCACGCTGACGGGGGCCCCCTGCGACTCCCTGATGCTGCAGGTCAGCTCCACCAACCCCCGGGAGGAGCCCATCGACACCGACCTCATCTGGGCCAAGATGCTCAGCTCCAAGGAGGCAGGGTAAGAGGAGGAGGGGTGGGATTTGAGCAGAAAGGAACATTGTTCTTGCTGGCTGTTTTTTCTCCACTTATTCCTCTACTTCAGCGGTTCCCAACCTTTTTCAACTCGGGGCCCACTTAAGAATCAAAAAAATGTTTGCGGCCCACATTCAACCATAAACAATACGGAGGCCAAATAAAGTTCTGATTGGTCAATTCAGAACAGGTGACAAGTTGTTAATCCAGTAGTACAGACCGCTATCAAAGACTGTAATGGCCGTTGCTAAGGAGGATCAAGAAAGAGAAAAGAAAGGAGGTTCAAATAAAAAAAATCTTAATGATGAAATGTTTCCACACAAATCATAATGTTTTGCAAATGTATTTGGCGGCCCACAGGTTGGGAACCGCTGCTCTACTTATAATGAATAAGTAGGGGAATTCATGTTAGATTTTATTTGATTTTATTTGCACAAACAAACGGATAACAAAAAGATAAGAAAAGTGACACTAGAGGATAAGAAGCCACATGCTGATACAACAGACAAAAATAAACAACAACCAAAGTTTAAAAACAGAATTGTAAGCTAATTTTGAAGGTGTGGTAGAGATATCTCATTCAAATAAAGATTCAAGTGAGTGTGTGTGGTGCATCTGGTTTACATGGAGCTGTTGAAACACCTGCGTCCTTATGAAGGCAGACGGAGTGCAAAAACAACTCCCTATCGCTATGGTAATACAGAGATACACAGTTAGTTGTGAATTAAAACATATTGTTGTGTTATGTGTGAAAGGCACTTAGCAATACGCATAAATAACTAAATGGATATCTTATATTAACATTTATAATGCAGAAAGCTACAACAAAAAGAGTTTGACGACAAAAATGTGCAGATAAATGTACCAATCAGGAGACAATAATCCAATAAAAACAACAAAACAAGCAAACATTAAAAGTGAAAAAGAAAAGCACTGGCCATGTCCACTATAACTTTCTGTGTGTTAAAGGGGACCTATCATGCAACATTTTGTACGTCTTTTATACATGAATATGTGTCCCCGGTGTTCCAGGGAACTCACCAAGTGTCAGAAAACACAACCCTCTCTTTTCCTCCTTAGCCAAATCTCTAAAAAAGGGGCTGCAACGGATCTGATACAGACTGATCCAGATTTGAACACTGTCCTGACGTCAGGACGGTGGCGCTACGGCTATTGGTCAATTCTCCACCTATCAGGGGAATGAGAGGTTGGGCCACGGCCGGCCATTGCTGCTCGAAAGCGCTGGAGACGCTGTAGTACATATGCCAGGCCTGTAAGTGGCGCTGTAGTCTGCCACAAAAGCAGCGAAGAAGACTTCCCTTGCATGGTTGCCATGGTTGCCCTTCTGTTTATTCTCCGCTGTGGCTCTTTTTCTCCCTCCCCGAGGCAAGCGTTTGCGCCTCCTGCTTTAAAACAAATGAATAATGACTCTATAACAAAAACAAAACGTGATCCGTCTCTTAAATGTGTGTCAACCACAGACCTTATTTCCAGCTATTTTCCAAAATCCTATGGAGAGATTGCATTGTTTTTTTGTCGAAGGAACTGTAAGGAGTTTACTTCCGGGTTTTAGGACGCGTCACTGTGGCGCTCTATGCCAAAGTAACTGCCAACTCCCCTCTCCTGCAGGGGGCGTGGTCAGCTGCAGCTCACAGAATCAGCCCCCTGCAAAAACAGGGCTGGAAAGAGCAAATAGAGCGAAATGAGGCACGGCTAAAATGCAGGATCTTTTTGGTATTTTGAAAAAAATATATATTTATATACTTTATATAGGTATGGCCGTACAATATATGTTTCAAATATAGCATGATAGGTCCACTTTAAATAACAGAATGCATACAAATATTGATTGGTATTTTCCTGTACAAAATATTAAAAAGTAAAACATCTTATTGGAAAACCAGAGGATAAACATTATGCAATCAGAGCATCAAACACTAGGGTGTTACAAAATCACAAAGGTGCTGAATGCCAATTAGCAGCTCCCTGTATGTCAGCAATGGTAGAGCTCTGCCAATCAGCTCTTTGATATGTGAGCGCTCAAAGCAACAAGAGACAACAAGCAGGACTCCAAAGAGCCCAAATGATCTGAGGCCAAATTGGAGGACCATCTGTCAGAAAACTTGTGGTTTTATTCAACATATCAAAGGGGAGCCACCTTGAATGCGTTCAACATTAGTATGCGTTACTAAACAGAGACAAGCTGCAGAAAAGAAGGAGCAGCTGTCTAAATTAAATGAGGTATAACTGATATTTGTTTTTGTAACCGTCTGCAACAAGCAGTTTGTTCTGACCATTAAGTTGGCTTTAGTTTTTTCAACATTATGTACATTTTACACCGAGTGCCGTCCATGTCCTCCCAGGTTTCTGATGGGTGCGTCTTGTGGAGGAGGCAACATGAAGGTAGACGACGTTGTGTACGAATCTCATGGTCTGCGGCCCCGACACGCGTACTCCATCCTGGACGTACGAGAGGTGCAGGGTTACAGGTACGAAGAACTGTGAACTAAATGGGTTTAAGTACCTTTCTATGAGTTCTTATAACTTGATGTTTCTCTTTTTAAATCGATCTGATCTCTGTCTGTACTGTACATCTGTTTTATCTTTGCATTGAAATATAGTAGGCATTTCAAGTAAGCATGAACTTATGGGCATTATCGTGGATCTTAGAACAGCAAACTCAAATTAAAATATTTTTAATATGGCTTTTAATTTGGGTTAACTTTCAATTCTCACTGGTATCGTTGTCCATGTTTTACTGTATTTTTTCTGTTTTTGCTTTTAAACTTTTGTAATTGTTTTATTTTAACCTATTTTCATTTCTTGTCAGCTTTTAATTCAATGGAATTTCATTAGGATCACTGTAGATGTTTCATCTTGTTCTGTATTTATTTTAATATTGTTGTTGTGTTTTCTTCTTGTTCTGTAAAGCACTTTGGGCTGCTTTGTGCATGAAAGGTGCTACACAAAGAAAGTCTATTATATTATTACTATAGTGTTTAGAGGCCTGATGATTAGATCTGAAGGTCCTGTGTTTATTTTTTAAATAGTTTAGAGAATGACAAAATAGTACAAAAGTGGCATATGCATTTCTCTTTCAGTCGGATAATGTTTTAGGCCTTTTTCAAAATCAACAATCAGCAACTGACATTGGGTATATCATACAAACAAAAGTTTAAAATGGGAATGCAGAATGTGGGAAAACATGTTGCAACTTTATAAGTGCAAGATCCTTATCTAAGTTGTTTCATGGCTGTAATCTTTTCCTGTCATCTCTCATTCCTTACTGTTGTAGATTTCATCCAAACCAATGAGTCACGCAGTACGATTGACTGGCATGGGTCTGATTCAAGGAAAGAAACCATGTCTCAGATGTTGTTTATTCATTAAAAAAAGCATATTTAGAAATCAGTATCCTCGGTTTGGATAGATTGAGCAGATGCACACTCTGTTAGGTCACTTCTGGAATGATTCATATGTTAATGTGGCGGAGGCTTGATGCCAACAGAGAGCAGGTGCACAGCAGTTCATGGTGATCACTTTGATCAGCATTGTGAGTCTACACAAAGCTTTCTCTCCTGTCCTACCTGGGAGAGGAGGGGGTTGCCGTAAATCCCAAATGTAATTTGCTCAAGAGCCCCCACACAACCCCTTTAATTTACTGGCATAAAGCAATCTGAGTGGAAGATTGTGCCACGGCGCTTGATCTAAAACGAGTCGGGAGTCCTCCTGCGAAGTGCCAGAGGAGATGAAAAGCAGCTTGAAAAAGCGATTCACCTGCATTTAAGAAAAAAAGGGGGGGGATTCCAGTATGGTTTCCCATTAAACCTCCGAGGATTCTCTCGGTAGGGAGAAGGCAGTAAAATGAAATGGGTTGTTAAAAACTAGGCAATGATACATAAGAGGAGCAATTTGAGTCCGCAGAGATGGAGATATAGCGTTGACTGGAAGATGTTGTCACTAACTGAATCCCCCTCTCTTCCCTCACTAACGGTCACTGTTTGGCTTCAGGTTGTTGCGGCTGCGTAACCCGTGGGGACGCTTCTCGTGGAACGGAAACTGGTCGGACGAGTGGACAGAGTGGCCGCAGAACCTGAGGCACGAGCTGATGGCCCACGGCAGCAGTGAGGGGGTCTTCTGGATGGAGTACAGCGACTTTATAAAGTAAGTAATCAATTTAAAAACGGCCCTATTATGCTTTTTGGGGTTTTCCCTTTCCTGTAGCGTGTTATATAGATTTGTGTGCATGTAAATGGTCTGCAACGGCTAAAATCCCTGCCTGAAACGTCTCCATTGGACTCCTTCCGTGACATAGTGACATAATTATGTAACACTTGAGCGCTCCAAAACATTGTACGTGATAAAGCACTTTATTCATTACATTAAAGAGTGTTAACATGTCACTGTAGAGGCAAACAATACAAATAAGAACCTACACATTAGCATATTAGGGCCCCTTTAACAGAAAGAGTTTATTTCCATTGTTGTGGTAATTGTGAATATCATATCTGCCTCAAACTAGTTTTGGTTTGTTTCGGAAATAGTACGCTTATTTCTACTTGGACAGATGACATTACAATGACATCACATAATCTTTAATCCACAACTCCTTGTTTGTAGACGGGTATCGTCTCAGAAAGTGACTCACTCTTTTAGACTCATTCATTCATTCACTCGCAGTAGACTTTCTTCCACCTAGTATGCACCAGAGTATTAGCAGCAAATAAGGGGGTAACTTTAGCATAATATTATTGCTTCTGGTCCCTTTGATTTTTGATTTTGCACAGATATTTTCTATTATTATTGTACCTTTATTTAACCAGGATAGGTCTCATTGAGATTACAAATCTATTTTTCAAGAGAGACCTAGCCCAAGAATGGTAACAGCACAGATACAGACCATTTTAAAACACACAGTCATACAAGTTAGCCAAAGCATTTACAGCCACAGCGGCCTGCTTCAAGGTCATTTAGAGTCACTTTGAGTTTGTTTAAAGAAACCAGCTCTCTAATATATTTGAGACATGGCTGCCGTGGCTGCTAACGCTTCACTATTTGTGTTATTCATGTAAGCTTCTGTTAGCCGGACACAGGTGAAATAACTCCGAAAGTGACCCTTAATCGTGCCATGATGGACGCACGTAATGTGCTTTAAGTGATGGATGTTTTAGTAATTTCATGCCCTGCTGGATTTTGCTGACTATCAGGTATTGACTCCAAACTGAATGACAGCTTTCTCTTAATTGTTTTTATTTCTCGGTTTCATTGGTTGATCAGGATTTGTGAGGCCTGTACTTGTCATTACTCTCAGGATTGATCTAATATGACAAAACTAGCTGTCATTCAATAACACACATCAACAGGTTTTGACAGGTTTTTTTTCTTGCTCTGCTAATGTGTGTTTTTATTTATTATGCATAATCATTTCTTTGGCAAGTGACCTTTGGAGGTTAGTAAATACTGTTGCCTTTAACAGCTTGATTGAAAGTAATCTGAAAGACAAAAGGGAGCGAGTTGATGCCTTGTAGCTTCCTAAAATATAAGTGTAAGTAAAAACAACCTAAATGCACTCATTTACACCAAAAATAACCTAATCTGTGTGATCTGCCAACAAACATTTTTCACTAAGTGTTTAAAGAGGGCATATTATACTCATTTTCAGTTTCATTCTTTTGTATTTTGTACCTCTACTGTGACTGCTTATACTGAAGACCATTTACCTGCACAAAAACTAAGCTAACCTTGTTAACAGCACTTGCCTAGAAAAATGTTTTCCCTTCCTGTCTGCAAAGCATCTGATCAATAGACGTTGTCACAAAGTCCACCAGGTTAGTAGGTTGACCTGAAAATAAATGGTGCGTGAATCTGGCTGGTATTCCTGTGTATCGGGGCTGTTACTCATGTCCCTCGTGTCCTTAAAAACAAGAGGCCACAGAGATCAATGTGGCCGGCCTCCTGAACAAACCTAAAAAATGTGTGTGTGGCCTCGAAAAGACCCGAATCCCATCTGTCTTCTGACTGTTTATTGTTTACTCTGTCAGAGAAATAATCTCTTGGCTCTGTGCTAGATAAAAGCCTACAGCATATCCCTGCTAAAAATAAAAAAGTAGCCAGCTTGTTGAACAAATACTGTATCCAGGCACTTATTGGACTAATAGATGCTGATTTCACAAATATATATATATATCCTTAAAACGAGCTGAATTCTATGAACCAAAAGATGTTAACAGCAGACGTGTTCATCTCCAGCAATCAAAGCCTACTCCAAAGCTGCTTTGCGGCTCTCTTTTTTACCTGTCTCGTCTTCTCAAAAGTAAGATGTAAGACAGTTGTCGGTGCGAGGTTAGGAAGTGATGAAACAATGAAAAACAGTGAGGAAGGGAGCGTCTCTCGGGGGCTCGGTCTTTGAAGAAGGAGGTCTGACATGTTAGAAAGGTAAATGGTGTTTATTCAGCAGCAGCAGCCTCAGAGGCTATGCTAATGTTAAAGAGCTCCTGGTGATGCATGCAAATGAGACGGAGAGAGCAGCGGGTCAAATTGCTGCTGTCTCGGAAGAACCACTTTTCTTGTGATACCACATATATGAAACTAAAGGAGTCTGCATCCTCTCATCCGTCTCCTCCCACAGGTACTTTGACTCAGTGGACATCTGTAAGATCCACTCTGACTGGCAGGAAGTGAGGCTGCAGGGCTGCTTCCCCAGCAAGGCCAGTGGCCCGGTCACCGTCACAGCGCTCACCGTGCTGGAGAGGACGGCGCTGGAGTTTGCTCTCTTCCAGGAGGGAAGCAGGTGAATAAAACAAACAAAAAACATCCCATTAATTCGCAATATCTCTTACAAAGAGGCAATTTGTTACAGGCTCCAGATACCTCCACAGGAATACTGTGAACTGTGCTTATCTCGACCAGTTAACATCTATTATTCCTTGGTATTTCTCCCTATTCATCAATAACTTCAATTACAACATTATTACTACATTCAAATGTAACCTCTACAGTCAACCAAGCTCTGTGTAAATGCTGTAGAGATTTATATTGAATGACCATGTTTTTGTAATGTAGCTGTATTAGAGGTATTTTATTCCCTATGCAACACAGACATGGAACACAGAGTGACTGACTCAAGGGACGCTGTCTGTTTTATAAAATGTCCTCTCTTTATTATTTCTATACCTTATTGCAGCTACATGCTAGAGCTGCACAATGAAGCGACGTTGTATAAAAATAGCAATATTACTTTACATTCCATGGTATTTGACTGAGGGTCAATACATCTTATCTAATTTGTTTCTAAGTTTATCGTTCAATTCCCATCTTCTTTCCTCTCCCTCTCTCTCTCCAGGCGTTCGGACACAGCGGACAGCCACCTGCTGGACCTGTGCATCATGGTGTTCCGTGCGTCCTTCGGCAGCGGCAACAAGCTGACTCTGGGCCGCCTGTTGGCCCACAGCAAGCGAGCCGTGAAGAAGTTTGTGGGCTGCGATGTGATGCTGGAGCCGGGGGAGTACGCTGTCGTCTGCTGCGCCTTCAACCACTGGCAGATGAACGTCAGCGGGACGCCAGTGGGAGGTCCACCCACACCCAGTAGGTTTACAGATACACACAAGCAAGGCTTTGTTGTTGCCTAATCATTTACCCCTGTTTACCATACAGTAGGAGGTACTTTTTAAAAGTGTATTTCTGTCCTGCAGTCTCCAGTCCTACCAGCGCAGCAGCACGGCGGCCCAGCAACGACTTCCCCGGCTACATCCTCGCCATCTACAGCTCCAGACAGGTGATGGTGGAGCAGGTGGAGGCCATGGCCACCACGCTGGCTGACGCCATCATCCTGCTCACGGAGAATAAAGGCGAAAGACATGAGGTGAGACTCATGAACACACTAGAGAACAAGAGAATAACTTGTCACCTTCTCCCATCTCTCTGTCTCACACACACACACACTCACACACACACACGCACATGCACACACACCGTGAGAGTATAATGCTTGTGAAGCCGGAGAACTCTCTAAACCACTTGGAGATATCACTTCAGATTTCCTTAACTAAGTCCTGAATCCTTTACTACTTTTACACATGCAAGTATATGCACATTATCTCTCACACTCACACACACACACATGCTCACATACACACTCACACTTGAGATCATCTTTGTTAAATCATTCAGCTCTGCAGCTCTCCGGGAATCCAGCGCACACAGTATGTGGGCCGAACGCTCAGGAGTGCATGGCAGCCACTACTCCAGCAGTAGTGTTTTAAAAATAAAAATTTATTTTTCGGGTAAGTAATTCTAGCTGTCTTGCAACAAGAGATTAGTATTTTGAGCATGAGCATGTGTTGCTGACAGATATCAGGTGGAGTGGGATTACTGATCTGTTCATTGGATAGCAGCTAAAGTAGTTCAGCTGCACTCAGTAACAATTACAGGCCCCAAAAGAGAGATCGGCAGCCACTGCTGAGAGATGAAAGTCGTATTGCTTTCAGTGAGGGTTGCTTTTGTGTGAATGGTGTTTTAAAAAGCTTGACACTTTCATGATTCGTACCTGTACCTGTTCAGATGCAGCTGGGTAAAAGTTAGGAAATAATGATCATAATTTGTACCATTTTATAAACGTTCAAGTTGCCGATTGTTGCTAGTATCATCAAATCAATTTATCGAGAAAACAATCAGCAATCCTACAAGTTAGTGGCAGTCCTACAACAGAATACATTTCACCCATCAGCTTACCAAAAAGCCTATGACATTTAAGAGTCAATCAACCAGAACTACAGCCGTCTTTTTCTCGCCTCAGTAGACCAGAATGCACTGCAGCCACGAGGTATTTTGTATTACGCAAAAACATATTTCTCGCTCACATTTCTGTGTTTCCACGTGTGTTCTCAGGGCCGCGAGGGCATGACGTGCTACTACCTGACCCACGGGTGGGCGGGGCTTATCGTGGTGGTGGAGAACCGCCACCCCAAATACTACCTCCACGTCTCCTGTGACTGCACTGATAGCTTCAACGTGGTGTCCACGCGCGGCAGCCTCAAAACCATCGACAGCGTGCCCCCTCTGCACAGGTACACACACACACACACACGCACACGCACACGCACACGCACACGCACACACACAAGTTATTTTTTATTAGGCTATATATCACCTCGGAAGAATAGAAATAACCCAAATAGATTGCAAGTGAGGAGATTAAACGCTTTGGGAACATTTGGTACAGGTGCAGCAAACATCCACCCACTTAAGAAATTATATCAGTACACACACACACACACACACACACACTTGCAGAGCTATTTCTATAAACAGCAGTGATCTCAGGGATTAGCGCTCCGTATTTCTTAATAATCTTCCTAAGGATGGTCTCAGCGCAGTTATTACTGCCTTTGTTTTCTTTCGGTCCCCATTGTTCTCTGCCCATTGAAGCAAATTATTTAAAGACCAGAAAAATATCACACGCTCTAATATCCCCAATCAATTATTTTTTATTATCTTAATTTCTTCTTGTATAGCTTATTGCGTTCTTCGTTTTTATTTGCTCTTTAAAATGTTTTTATTGTAATGTTGTGAAGGACTTTGTAGTTATGTTTTAAAAAGAAGATCTAGAAATAAAGAAATGGATTATATTACATACGAATTATTACCAACCTATGAAATGCAGCACAGGGGACCATTAGGTTTTTCTGAATTAAGGTTCTTTAGACATCGCCTGTATGCATTTTTCAGAAGTAGAGACACATTACAGAGCACATTAATGTACATTTATGACCTTATCACCTCCAAGTTATGTCCCACTTAATGGAAAACTGTAAAAAGTCACCATGCATGAGGCCCATGTCTTTTAATGTAAGTTCCTTTCATCTATCCAGAACATAATTAGTTCACTTAATAAAAACTATATGCTGCAATGTCACAGCAGGATTTTTGTACTCACTTACTTTTATACATTCAGTTAATAGCCCAAAGTATTTAGAAGCCAAGTAACTATACTCAGGATTCTCACTGGAGTGTACTCAGATATCTGAAGACTGTGATAGTGTGGAATAAAGATCCTCAATCTCATTTCCTGTCAGCATGTTACATCCTTTTTTACTCAAAATAGACTGAATCAGAAAAACAACAGTCTAAATTGCTGACTGAGCGACTTTTCTTCCTCCAATCCTAGCTTTAACTTTGCTGACTAGCTGATAAACAGTTCCAAGATCAGTGCCATACTTAAGGACGCCACAATCATTTTGAGCCAGAATTGTTTGTATTTCTAGCAGGGAGGGATTCCATTCATAAATTATTGTTTATTTCAGTTTTCCAACAAAAAAAACAATGGTTTCATCATAAAAACATCTAATTTAAAGCATAATCATTTTTGATTTATTGGAATACGGGATGGCTTCTAGTTTATCACCAGACCTGTGGCCTGAATGAGTGGATGTACTTTCACAATTTGTCATGTTTTTCATCAATATTGATACTTTGAGATATATTCTTACTTTAAGGGTGTATAGTTTTAGTTACATTATCAGGAGAAGTTCTGAATAAATGATTATGTATGCTTTGGACGGGATGGATTTGTAATTTAGAAAATGATTCCTCCCCTCCTCACCAATGTCATTTGCATACAGTCCCTTACTTCACTTCTTTACAGGTTGCACAACAGAAAAATGCCATATTTATTTGTATCCGCTTTAACTAGAATGGCTTTTCAGCTGCTAAATATCCCCCCCCCTGTCGCTCTCTGCCCCCCCCCTGCAGGCAGGTGCTGGTGGTGCTCTCCCAGCTAGAAGGAAACGCCGGCTTCTCCATAACACACCGCCTAGCTCACCGTAAAGCAGCCCAGGCCTCTCTGGGGGACTGGACCCCCACCAAGGCCACCCACAGCCCCCAACTCACCCCGGACATCGACGGTCTGCACCGCCCCCGGCCGCTATGACCACCGCCCTCCGTCTCACACACACACTCAGACTCTTACCCAATGAACTGTCAGACCACTGGAAAACCAGGCGGGGGGGGGGCGGGGGTCGTGTGCAGCCCGGAATGGTGGAGAAAGATGTGTATTTCTGTGTCCCTTTGGGTAAACACACACCTTGAATGTAAATGGGCAGCGTTTGTGTGTCCTTCTAAGGCTCCATAAATGCTTTCATCCGCAATCTCCCTCGCCATAGGGGACGTGCCATGTCAGGATGAAATGAGGGAAGCGGGGGCCACGTGAAGTGACCCCGGACTTACTTAAGGAACTATTTTTCACCCAGGGGCACCTAACGGGATCCAGTTCAGACTACTTAACATTCTGGTACGAGCGCTGTACGTGGGAAGGGATGTCCTATATCCTTCACAGGAGTCAGGGTGGAGTGCCGTAACTACTGAGCCATTTTCCGGCCCACAAACTATGAGCCAATCCCCCGCAACGATCAGACACTAACCCCCATGTCGTCTACGAGGACAGCTAACTAAGCCGGAGACTTCGGGGGGGGGGGGGGGGTGGTGTGTGTTTATCTCGCCCCGGCCCTCCCTACGGTACTTAATGAGCCAAATCCATATTCATGTTTTTTTAATCAAGATAATACACGTCGGTCTTACTTGTTTTATACAACGCCCTTGTTGCTGTCTTGTCCATATTTGTGTTTTTTGAGGTCGTAGAAAAAAAAAGCCATCAGTACTGTCTGTCCTCATCGTCATCGCAGTGCTGTCTCACAATCCCCTAGCTCAGGACCAAACACAGCTGGAGTCAAGCTAAACCTCGAGATGATAGCTGGAGAAGCATCTCTTATTGTAAGCTCTGGTTTAGATGGGTTTTTATCTTGTGAAATACTGACACATTTTAGATTCCCTTACTTGTGTTTTGCGTTTTCCCTACAGAAAACAGCCACTGTAACTCCCTTCTTTCCCTTCTTCATCTCCTCTCAGCCTCAGTTTTGGGGTGCAAACGCTGTCGGCGAGTCATTTAATGACCAGCTTTGTAGATCACCCCTCGGGCCTGCTGGCTTCTCTCATCCAGTTCAGCCGTCGCTTTACATCTTCACACAGAAATCCCACCCTCTACAGAAGTTGTATGAATTAAATGATGCTGCTTCTTGCACTCTTAGATTGTGAACCCCTAAAATATGTGTCTCGATACTAGAGATGTAACGATATATTGAATATCGCGATATCACGGTAAATAAATGTCTCAATAAAAAAAATTTTTTTGAGTATATATATTTTTTAAAACCTTTATTTAACCAGATGGTCCCATTGAGATCATCGATCTCTTTTTCAAGGGAGACCTGTCCAACATGGCAGCAAGTAGGTTACAACATGAACATAAAACAACAGATAACACAAAAGGACATCGTATTTACAGGGCTACATGTACATACCTAGAGACATTGACAAGTACCAACAGTATATTTATATCTCGCCCTGTCAATAAGCCACACCTTCTTGGCAAAAACTGTATTGTTTTTGAAGTGGTGGAGAGACAATGCACAGTTTGACCCACTGCTGTCACCCATGGCCAAAGCATATCTCTCTGTCCCAGCAACATCAGTACCAAGCAAGAGAGTTTTTTCCACAGCAGGGAATATTGTAAACGCCCAAAAATCCCAGCTTCTACCTGGAAATGTGGACATGCTCATATTCCTAAAAGATAACCTTGATGATGCTGAGTGAGTGAGTTAGAGTTGAGTTACTTGAAAAACTAAAGTGAAACTTGATTTATTCTATTGCAGAGTCTGATTATTATATTGTTGACACTTTAAAATACTACTATCCTACTAAAATGCTGAACAAATCTGATTTATTATTTAATAGAAAAAAGAAAAAAAATTCACATATTTTTTCTTTATTTTTCAATATCGCGATAAATATCGTACCGTGGACTTTTTATCGCGATATTATCGTACCGTGAGTTTTTGGTATCGTTACATCCCTACTCGATACTGAAGGTCAGCTGTCTGTTTCTCACAGTATTTCGATTTACACTTTAGTGTGCTGAGGGAGTAGCAGAGTCGCTGTTTGAACAGTCACTTTGCCACAGAAGAGCTCTTTCGTCGAGCTGCACAGTTTACTTTGGGAGGTCAGGGACCATTTTTGTTTGCTTGTGTGCAGCACGAACATCTGGGCCGTCCTCCCAATAGAATACTTCCGACCGCACATAAACGACAAGTGGAGTCCTTGTGTAATAACAAATTAACAGAGAGAGAAGAGACCCCTGAGACATTTTGTGACACAGAAAATAAGTGCCTTCAGCTGTTTTTGCGAAGGTCCTCTTTCCATTCCTCCATTGTCAAAGCCATTACTCCTGCTTCACTAAGGATCATTCAGGCCTCACCATGGCAACATATATGTTTCATTCATCCGAGAGTGGGAAAGATGAATGCGGTACTACAGTAACGGGATGGAGTGTGACTCTTTTCCAAGTCAAAGTTAATGTCTTATTATTGTGTGGGGATAAACTTGAAAGCTAAAATTGCTCGAGCACTCATACAATGGTAGGGGAAAAAAGCTTCTTTATTATGTCAAGATCATAGTTCCCACATGAAATGATTCAGTTAAGGACTTAAACTCCACTACCTTGAGTTGAAAAAGTGCCGAATCGTGCATCATCTCATGAGTAATTGTCTTTTCTTTCCTTATGGTTTACAGTGAACAGCAGCACTGTGTCCCGTATGCTTGCAGTCTTACTTACTTCGCACAAACACGACTTGCAGGCTGTCAACCTCATATGAAAACTACTCCAGGGCAGTGTGGCGTTTCTTTGCTGAAACCCGAAGCTGAAGTAACTGTAAATATGTTTTCCAAAGAAACATACCGTGTAATAATGACCACTCTCAGATGTCTGTGTGGTCGCAGCACAGCAGCTGTGAACTTTAATTTATTTGTATAAGTGATTTGCAGGCCTGTTGTTGTCAAAATGATCATTGCTGAATACTGGTATGACGGATAAAGGAATGTGATAATGTACCGGCGTTATATTGAGCCCAGAGGGATTAGCTTGACCAGAAATGAACCTGCACTGAAACACCTGCAATGACGAGGCACCTCAAAACATTCAGTGTCACCGCTGGATCACTTTACATGAGATTTTGTTTTATACAATGTTTTATTTGTCATAATTGTCATCTTGGCTCTTTGCTGGTGAACCTACTCGTCTTCTGTGAAGTTGTGGTGCTGACTCCTCTGTGCGTCAGGGGCGCCCCCTGCTGCCGGAGAGGAAAACACAACGCCTTGTTTCTTTCCATTCGTCTGCTTCCCTCCGTGTAAATTGTACAGAATGCAGACTTAAGCCACATAAAAGATAGAAAATGGGGAGGGATACATCACTGACCCTTTTAAACTTGTATAATAGTAGAAACAATTAAGAAATTCAACCTAACGCTGAAAAAAAAGAACTCTAATGAATGTGATATATATTTTATTGATCTTTTTCTGGGAGGGGAATATGAGAATATGTGTACAACCAATGTATGTTTAATTTTTAATCTCAGGTTCCGGCGGACCAAATAAATTTTTTCAATTAAGAAAAGGTGTCATTATTATAAATTGTACACACATTAACTCTACATTAATAGCATTTACTCTGTGTTGTGAGCTTTTTGCTTTGAAATCAGTATTAACATATCAAAAATGTTTTGTACACTTGTTTACTGCACTTTGATTGATTCCACTTTCTGATGTGTTTGTTATCGTTGGTTCCTCATTGCTCTTCATTTCCTGCCCTGTGATGTTCTTCCTCTCATCCCAGCATGTTTATTTTTCAGATGTTTATGATGTATCTTGTTTATGTGTCCGCTCCAGTCTCCACCTCTTCTCCTAATCCTCCTCCCGCCCCACCCTTCTTGTTCTAAGAATGTCCCGCTTCCTATTCCTCTCTTCTTTGGTTCCCATCTTCCTCCAAGGCAAATTCCCCTGCTGGACTCATCCCCCCCCCCCCCCCCCCCCCTAATATCACTTCCCCACCCCAGGCTTCTTTCCCCACTTTGGCTGTGTGGTGCTGAGTTCATTACTGACCCGAGCAGAGACAATAAAAGGCTCCACGAGGTGCTGACATCCAGCATAAGGAGCTGTCAAATACGTCCTTCTACCAAGAAACCTCACCTTGAAGTCTCTCTTCTCACCTGGAAACTGAAGGTAAAATCCCTCTCCAGATATCGTGTCCTTGTGTTCACGCCATTCAGTGTGAGAAAGAGTGCAGTTGCCAAGATGGAACACTTTGCACACTAAAAGCCTAACAGTGTCACGGGCAGATATGTGAGAAAAGAAAGGAACAAAAAATCTGACCTCTCGTGGGAAATCTGTTCATTTCCAACCCTGCTCTGTAGATATGGAGGAGCTAATTAGATATCCTTTTTTAATTTACTCTGCGACATGATGAGGCTAAAAGCATTTCCCAGCAACACTTGTGAATTCAATTGACAAGAGTCCCAGAAAAAGTAGAGGGAAAGTTGTTTCTTTGTGAAACTGAAGGGGCATTCTGGGTGCAAGGGAGTGTGATAAAGTGACGCTTTTATTGTGAAAGTTAAGAATAGTGTTATTGCTGCCAGCTGCTTGGAGTTAAAGGCAGTTTGGGGTGTTTCCAATTCCAGGTGAAGCACTTCTAGACATTTGTAATTGGTACAAAATGATTTAATGTATGTTGAATAATATTTGCGTAATAACTAAATCTGGCATGAATCATCTCTTATTATTAATGATTTTATTTTTTGTATGCATGGTCCTTGTTTATTAAAGACTTTATAAACAAGAATAACTCACCTAATCTAAACCAAACAGAAATCTGATTCTAACTTACACATATGCAAAGTATTGGATGTTCGCTCCCAGTGAAATCTAAAGAAAGACTGCAGGAGCTACTTAAGCCACCAAGAGTGCCACCATCAGATGATCACATTTCCCTCGCCTCTTATTTTCCCACATGTCATGCCAAGATGATAAATCATGTGACATGCAAGCAGGGTTTGTTCGGACGGAGGATTTTTGTCAAGGGTAGTAGTCTGAAGAAACATGCATCCATCCATCTTGTGCATGATCCTTCTTTTGTAAGAGCTTCTGTCATCAGGGTCTTGGTCGGAGTGAATACGAGTGACAGAGGGTGTATTTTAAAGGTCTTCAGTCTACTGAAGACTTTACACTATGTTGAGATACTGTGTCAGCCGAATAGGAATCTATACGGTGTCAGTTTATGTATAGCCACAGTTTCCATGCTGCTTGGTGAAAAGTCCATATCCTTGACATAAGTCAAACTGCAGCAGCTTACTTGGTGTATTTTTCTTTTTTAAATGTTATCATCAGTCCCAAAGACACTTGTGTGGCTCCTGGCAGCAGTGATGTATTATCAAGAAGAGCATTTCACACCCTGTCAGGAGTCTTTTAATAACAGTGCAAATCTTTGTTGTGTTACTTGGTCGCACAGGACGAATACCTTTGTGGGCTCAGGACTGTATTACCTCATTCACACCAACGCAACTCCGGTTCAAGCTCTGTGCTAGAGCTTTTCAGGTTCAGAACTGGTTCTTCGGTTTAGCTCCGGCTCTTTTCACACCGCCCAGAGTCCGACTGGTTCTGCGTCATTGCGTCATCGTTTGCGTCATGACGTAACCGTTTGCGTGCCTGCTTCATAAAGCCAAAGCGCGCGGAAATCCCTCACAGCTGACACCGACAACAACAACAACAACAACAATGGGCGATTGTGCTCCAGCTTCCTCTGTACCTCTTCGGAAGACCAGATTCCCAGCAGGTAGCTGGTCTCTTCAGTGGACCACTGCTGCTTGTTAAGTTTCTCCATCGTTGTGTACAAACTGGATAAAACGCGGGCTTTTTGTTGTTGTTCAGGAGTTGATCCCGCCCCTGCCCCCGCCTCGACGTAAGCGTGATGTATGTGGTGCTTTTGCTCTCGCCGGACAATTGTTTGGTGCTTGAAACGAACCGGATTCCGGAGCTAAGAGACTGCTCCGCTGCGGTGTGAACAGGAAAACCCGGTGCTTTTCAAGCTCCAGCTCCGAACCGGCCCTGAAACACCGTTGGTGTGAATGAGGTATCTGTCAACATTTCCAGTCCTGCTTCTTCTCATTTGTCAGTGTGTCCTGATGAGGCGGAGGGGGGGTGTCTCACACCCTTCTGACTCTGCTTTGTGTCTGTCAGTAAGCGCACAGCACACAAAGGCTGGCAAACAATGGATCAGATTTTCTTTAAGGACGTCAAAGGGAGGCTATGTTGACAGATCCATGATGTAAGGGCCATTCAGAGTCTGCATAGTAATTCAACTGAAAACACAAGTTATCATAACAGAAATGAGCCTATTTTTGTTAACTATGAGCAAATTGGGTTTGCACGTGTTTGATAAGCAAGGACAATCTCTAATTGTTGTAATAATAATAATAATCTATATTTATACTGAG